AAAATTCAACTCAAGATGGATTAAAAACTTGAATTTTTTTTTTTATTTAACAGTAAAATGAAAGTAAAAAGAAAAAATCAGTAAGTGGAACTACAACAAACTAAAAACTTTTGTACATCAGAGGGAATCATCAAATGAAAAGGCAACCTACTGAATGGGAGAAAATATTTGCAAATCATCTATAATAATAAAAGTGTAATATACTAATTCCATGGTCGGCAAACCGCAGCTCGCGAGCCACATGTGGCTCTTTGGCCCCTTGAGTGTGGCTCTTCCACAAAATACCACGTGTGGGTGTGCATGCACAGTGTGAATGAAACTTCGTGGCCCATGCGCAGAAGTCAGTATTTTGTGGAAGAGCCAGTATTTTGTGGAAGAGCCACACTCAAGGGGCCAAAGAGTCTCATGTGGCTTGAGAGCCACGGTTTGCCAAGCCGCAGTTTGCCGACCACTGTGTTAATTAGACCAGACAGCCAAACGACCTTCCGGACGTCATTCCAGATGTCCTTCCGGATGAAGCTGCCGTGGCAGAGGCTGAGGCAGAGATGGTTAGGAGCAATCAGGTAGGCAGGTGAGTGGTTAGGGGCAATCAGGCAGGCAGGGGGAGTGGTTAGGGGTGATCAGGCAGGTAGGCAGAAGTGGTTAGGGGCAATCAGGCAGGCAGAGGCAGTTAGGGACAATCAGGCAGGCAGGTAGAGTGGTTAGTGGCAATCAGGCAGGCAAGCGAGTGGTTAGGGGCCATCAGGCAGGCAGGCAAGTGGTTAAGGGTGATCAGGCAGGCAGGAGAGCAGTTAGAAGCCAGGGGTCCTGGATTGCAAGGGGGATGTCCCGGATTGTGAGAGGGTGCAGGCTGGGCTGAGGGACCTCCCCCCATACCCCTCTGCAAACGAATTTTGTGCACCAGGCCTCTAGTATATCTAATAAAAGGTTACTATCCAAAATTATAAAGAACTCATACAACTCAATAACAAAAACAAACAATCTGACTTAAAAATGGGCAAAGGAATTGAATTCACAGTTTTCCAAAGAAGACATACACATGTCCAACAGGTACATGAAAAGGTGCTCCACATCGCTATTCATCAGGGAAACGCAAATCAAAACCACAATAAGATGTCACTTCACAATTGTTAGAATGGCTATTATCAAAAAGACAAGAGATAACAAGTATTGGTGAGAATGTGGAGAAAAGGTAAGCCTTATACACTGCTGATGAGAATGTAAACTGGTACAGCCACTATAGAAAACTGTATGGAGATTCCTCAAAAAATTAAACATAGAACTTCCATGTGATCCAGCAATCCCACTTCTGGATATATATCTAAATGAAATGAAATTACTGTCTCAATAAATATCTGCATTCATATGTTAATTGCAGCATTATTTATAATAGCCAAACATGTGGAAACAACATAAGTGCCCATCAATGGATAAATGGATAAAGAAAATGTTCTAATACGCAATGAAATGTTATTCAGCCATGAAAAGGAAATCCTGCTATTTGGGATAGGATGGATGGACCTTGACAGCATTATGCTAAGTGAAATAAGTAAGACAGAGAAAGGCAAGTACTGCATGATTTCACCTATATGTGGAATCTAAAAAATAAAACTGAAATCAGAGATACAGAGAACAGATTAGTGCTTGCCAAAGGTGGAGGTGGAGGATTGGAAAAATGGGTAAAGGTGATAAAAAAGTACAAACTTCCAGTTATAAGATAAATAAGTTCTAGGGAGCTAATATACAGCACGGTGACTAAAGGTAAAAGTCCTCTAAGGCTTTTGTTGTAATCTGGGAAATTAAAGTCACATTATACTCTTTTAATGAATCCTAATAACTACAAATTTTAAAATGCATCAACATCTTACAATCTTACAACATCAATAAGTTGAAAGCTCCTAACCTAAGAGGAAACCCTGTTGAGTAAAAATGAGTAAGAAGCAAACACCAGCCCAGCTGCCATGGCTCGTGGTTGAGCGTCGACCTATGAACTAGGAAATGATGGTTTGATTTCCAGTTGTGGGATTGATCCCCGGTAGGGGGTGTGCAGGGACCAGCTGATCAATGATTCTCTCTCATCATTGATGTTTCTATCTCTCTCCTTCTTCCTTCCTCTCTGAAATCAATACAAATATATTTTTTAAAAAGAAGCAAACACCTATTTAATATATTTCTACCCTCATCCACAGCCTCAGAGCGCTGACTAGCACAAAGGAACAAAATATTGTGAAAAGAGAAAAACATTCCTTCTCAGCTAAGCCCTCAAGGAACAGGGGATAGGAGTTAGCACACCCTGTTGTGTGAGCAGAGGAGGGAGTAGAATAACCCATATGACAACAGAAAGGAAACAGGAAGAGGTCCCCATTGCCTCTGGTCTCTCAGCATTTTCATATTTAGATTCTTATATGTCACTTCAATTTGCATCTATTTATGTACATCATAAATGTTTGCAACTCATGTGTGCTTTGTCCACCCAACTAGCTTGCAAATGTAAAGACCTCTCAGGGATTTAAGAGGGAAATGGCATGAGTATGAGAAGTGAGAGAAGATCAAAAGAATAAAGGGGAAAAAGATGTATCATTGTGTGGGGGCCTGACAGGGCTTTTGAATGGCAACTGCCTTCTCTGAGTGAAGTGTCTACACCTTAGCTCTATGCCAGGCTTACAGTTTTAGTCGCTCCACGGTGAGGAATTTTTCCCCTTCTTTCTATTTTCCTCCCTTTCTACCTAAATACACAACACTAGAACCATTTTCCTAACACTGAGACCATTGCTTTTCATCCAATCCAGCTGACCAGCAGCAACGCTAAATCAGAAGACTGGGGATTTTCTAACCACACAGGATGCAGACCTGGCTCTGTCTGTCTATTGATGTGCAGTTTTGTTTTGTAGCTACAACTGGGCCCCTTGGGTTACCCTTTATTTTAAGAAACACACTTTCTTTAAAGGAAATACCACTCTTCATTTTAGAGAACATACTACCTCTTCTCCATTTCTGACTTCATGTTGAAGACATCATATTTCATATAGGATCTGCATCCTATTTCCTAGAGGCATATCAATCTATGTTGCCAATCTTGAAGAGTAAACAGTAAGTCCTCAGATATGTAATAGTATAGTTTCCAGATCTAGGCAGAGGTGAAAAATCTATGTCTAAGCCAAGGTCAATGTGTACTTGTGCTCATATATAATAAATGTACTCTTGGGTTCCAAATTAGGCAAGTATAAAAGGAGGGAGGGGGATTCATTTTTCATAAGAATTGAAAAATAATTTACTCAGTACATGTTATACTTAATGAAAACTACCGTTTACCACACTTGTAACCTTCGCTAGGAACCATGCTAAGTGCTTCACATAGATTATCTCTTTTAATCATCAAAATAATGGTATCTATGAAGGAGGCACTGTACCTATTATGCTTGTATAAGGAAACAAAAGCTTAGAGACTTTAAATAACTTGGCAAAGATGATGTATATAGTAAACGACAGAGTCAACATTAAAATCTGAGACCCCCGCCCGACCCCAGTGAACAAATGATGTTCTCCTTATTCCTATTCACTCAACCCCACCCCTCCCTGTCCCCAGTTGAACTCAATTGCATTTTTTTTTCCTGGAAAACAAACAGCAATGGGACTAGAGCATTGTAAGGTGGTGGTGGAAAAGGTTCTAGTCTTTAGGTGGTCTATTTCAATCCCATGGTCTTGTTTCTTGATAATAAATGGAGAGGAGGCAATAAATCCACACCTACTTGCCATGGGCATCTCTATGCCCCCCTTAGCATAGCCTTTAGGAGGGTTTTTTTTCTTGTATTACTAGGCCATTTTGTCTTGAGTTAAAAATATTCCATTTTCAGTGCATTTTTCATTTGTTGGCTTATTAGTAGAAATAGAAGTAATTTATTTTATGACCAAGTAGTTTAGGGTGGGAATTATTCTGGTGATTTTCCAGATGGACTCAGAGAATTGGCAGGACAGATCCCAGGTGAAATTCATTTCTAGCCAGAAAGGAGCTAGAACTTAAGCCTAGGACTCCTGCCTGCAGAGCAGGTGTCCAAAGCATGTTTGTGTGAACGCTACATGTGCAGCAGCCTTGTTGGCACCCTTAGCTACCCTGTACTAAATATATCCAGAGCACTTCTGTGAATTCCTCCACAAACCTGCTCTATCCTCCTTGCCTCCTATCTTGGCAAATGGCACTGCCATTCAGGTGTGTGTGCCAGACACCTGGATATCAACCTCAATTTTTCTCTCTCCTTCGCTCATACTGCAATTGTCTTATATTACCGAGTCATGTCTCTTTTTGCCCCGTGCATAAAATTTCTTTTTCTTTTTCTTTTTTTAGTATTTTTATTTTTATATCAATCCAAACAACACTCTGTCTCTTCTGAGCTCCTGAGATTGTTTCCTAATTTGTCTCCAACATCTCCTTCTTATCCACCTTCATTTCATTCTTATACTAAGGTCAGGATGATCTTTTCATAACACAAATTTAATTAGGCTATAAATGTCATACCATCATTTGCTAAAAATGCTTCAATGTCTTCCTATGATAAAAATCAAAACCTCAAACATGGCTGACAATGTCTTACATGATCTGGCCCTTACCATATCTCACACTTCCTCTCCTAATCTCTGCACCACAGTCCCACTGATATTTCCCATTTTCTCAGACACTACAAAGCCCTTCACACAAGCTGTTTCCTCTCTCTGGGTCACTCACTAACCTCCCACCTCTGAAATGGTGTGAACGCCTAGTCTTTCTTTAGACCTCGGCTTGGACGTTGCTTTCTCAGAGACAATTTCCCTGACAGCTATTATATGCTCCCTCACAAGACCATTGCAGTTCTTATTGTTTATCACTTTTGCAATTTTACATGTATTAGTAGAATTATTTGATCAGTTTCTATCTCTCTTACAAGCAATACTGCTTTCTGTTCAACTTTGCATACTTAGTACCATGCTTGGCCCATAGTTGTCACATAATACATATTTGTGCTTACCATTTTTCTGAATGAGAAGGTTGTAGATTTTAGTCTGACTGCCTAGTGGGTAAAAAATAAAGCTGCACTCATACTTCCCACTGAGTGAGGAGGACATGTTCCTTAAGTGCAGCGTCCATGTTGACACGTTCTCAGGAGTTTCTGTGAAAGTCACCAGTGACTTACAGGGAACCCCATTGGCACAGTGGAAGCCATATTGGGGGTGATAAAGGGCAATGAGGTCCCCCTTTTCGGTGACCTTGGACCATTGCATTTGCACCAAGATGCCTTCCTTCTGTGTTTGGCAGGTCAGATTGACATCAGAGCCAGGTAAAGCATAAATGTCTTCTCCTGCGCTGAATTTTCCTTCCCATATTCCTGAAAAGGAAGAACACAAGACATCAGTTTACATGATTCACCTGGAGTGACTCTTAGTTATAAACTTGGATGACTTTGATGAAGTGAGTGAGCACCACGGGAATGTTCCCCCTGGCTGCTTCGGGGATTGGAGAGAGCTCATGCATGACCCAGATAGAGAAGAATGGATCTCAATACATGTGAAGAGGCATTAACTTTAGGATACGAGAGGAACTTACTGACTTCTGAATGTTTACTTTTTGGTGGTTGGTCTAACCTAAAAAACATCAAGATCTCTAGCTACTGGTGAATAAAATCAAGACCATTGTAAAGTTGAAATTCACCATCAAACTTATTATGGCAACTATTCTTACATTTAATACAATTGGCTTTTTTGGTTATGCATCAACAGCTGCATGTAACACTCAAGTGATATTTTCTAAAACTACAAAAACAACTATAAACTCTGTATAGCAGTTTTTAAAAAATATATGTACAAGAGGTGTTTACATATACTGTCATATTTAATCCTTCTCACATACTAGAGTGATATTATTAACACTCCTTTTCAAAGAGGAAACTGAGGCACAGGCAGATTAAGTTCTTTGTTCAAAGTCATACCTCAGTAAAAGAATATGAATTGGGCTGCCTAGAATCTGCGCTCTTTCTATAACCTCATAACCTCCAAAATGACCCCCAGATTGGCTGAGGAGGGTAGGATATTTGATATTCAATATATATGGATTGAAAGGGCCTTTATCTCCATGTAGTTGGAGTTTACGGGAGGAGAAGGGCAGAAAACACCTCAAGTAAAATTTCCACTAGAGATAAATCATTTGGTTAGCATCATCTATAATCAATGCTTTGAAATACTAGATATAAAAGAAGATTCTCTCCCATCAGTTCTCTGACCAAATAGTACAGGACACTTAAAGTATTGCATCTTTGACATACCTTCAATAACGTAGGCCTCAGTTTTAGAATGAACATGGAATACTTTTATAGGAATGATATATGATTGTGACAAGTACCACAGAAGCTAACAAAGGAAAAAGATAAAAAGATGAAAAGCAACTGCGAAGAAACAAGGCTCTCAAAGGTACTTGACAAACAGGAATTATTATACTTTTATGGATGCAAAAGCATGGGTAGGCAGAGGTTATAATAGTTTAATGTATCTCCCTGTGAGCTCTCCTTTGCCGGATAATATGCTTCTGATCCTATCTACTGCATTATATTCCAAAGTCTCATTTGATTTAAAAATTCTCCTTAAAAATCTTAGTAGCTCTATATGAAAAGCAGAGATAATTCTTAAGACACTCAGGATCGCTATAATACCCTCATGCTGTGGGATACAGAACTAATCTTTCTTCCTACCATTTCTAAATAGGCCCATTAGGCTTTGGTTCCCACTGTCATAAGGACCCTGCTATGTCTCCCAGGTGTGTTACCTGCACATGCCTCATTAAATGCAACATATGCTCAACTGCCAAAGACATTCGTATTTGGAGGAGAAATGCTTATTATATCCAAAAGAAGAAAAAAAGGATAGTTGAAAGAGAGAAAAAAGTTGAGCAAGGATCTCTGAACATTGATGGCTTTGTGAATTATTTTTTTAGTATTCCAGAGTTGTTCTGACTACCATTTGGAGAACATTTCATTTTTAAGAAGCGAAATCTCCCAATTACTCCAGAGATTCTCTTAGGAAGGAAATGGGTAAAAAATGTTTCTGAGCAGTGGCACAAACCACCCATCCCCTTCTTGGTTTTATTGTTCCTTAGTAATCCTTTGTAGACTCTAACAGCTCCCCCATAGCTGCTGCTTAAGTACATAACTGAAAACCTTCGCAACGATCTGCCTTTGTACTCAATTTCAGCAGCAGTCCCAGGCATCTTCAATGAGCAAGAGGCCTCCCTCGCCCCCTAAAGTGGCTGATTTGACAAGAAAAGTACAACTGGAAGCCTTACCCCTGACAAAATGTATCTGGATGATGGAATAGACAGCACGGTATGTCCATTTTTTCTCCATCGTCTCCTGAAGGCCGTACAGCAGCATTTTCACCATGATCACAGAAGTCAACTGATGCCTTTAACTAAACAAACTCGAGCCACCCTATTCGCACTGAAAAACCCCAAATCTACCACACACCCGTGTCTGTTTATCACTTGGCAAGACCCCAGGAAATGAAACGTAGACAGGAAAGTAATGTGGTTCAGAGCTCAATATAACCTTCAACAGAACAAAGTTGAAATTGTTCTCTGAAACCTTGTGTATCACCTTCGTTAAAAGACTTTTCAGTACACACAGATTCTCTCCGTCAGGATCTCTGTGTCAGTCGAGCTGCTTCTAAAATCCAAAGGAAATCACGCAGAGCAGTTCATAATGTGCTTTTCATGCACTTCTTTCAGGAGCACAAAGTCATTTAACAAATGTGAGCCTCGTGTCTTTTATAATAGTTTTTCTGTTCAATTTTAAAATGTATTTGCTTTCTGGAATTGCTCCAGGGTGAAAGAACAAAACATTAACACATCTGAAAAGTAACTGAGGGGAGCATCAACTATCAAACCAAACTTTATTGTCTCCCCTCTTGCAGGGGACCCACATTTCCTGGGGGTGGGGGAGTGAGGGCTCCTTTTCTGCCCCTGGTGTGGGAAGAACTGGAAGTTAGACAGTGCTGGTGGGAGGCCTCTTCTGCTGATGGCATAAAAGCTTGTGTCTCAGCCCAAAACCATAGAGAGCAAGTCTGAAACAATCAGAATGCAAAGGCAGAGCAGTTCCTACCTCAGCTAGCCACCAAGCATGTTACATATGCCCAGTCAATTCCATTTACAGAGGACCAAGATAGGACAACAGGGAAGTGACTCCTCGGACATGATGACTGTCCCCTGACAGATGTGACTTCACGGTTTTCTAGCTTAGGATAAAATAGACCATCTTCACCTTCCAACATTAAGAAGGCAAGCGTTAGTTGGAAGACTGCAGTGTTAAGTGTAATAAACAAAGAATAAAAATGAGTAATATATGTGTCAACATACAACTGTATGGACAATGGGTGACGTATTCTGTGACCTCAATCTCACTACTACCTTTTGGCAGCACCCAGAAAACCTAAAGACAAAGGCAAAGGTGGAACTTCATTCGAGAGGTGACAATTTTTTTTGAGGGAGGCCAGGGAGAGAGAATTTTCACCTGGTTGTATCATGTCATCATGTATCATGACATCATGTCATTAAGTGCGTACTGATCTCCCCAATTCAGCGACTTGGGGTGAATATGAATGATGCTAAGACATAAGGCATCACCCTTGTCATTGAGGGGATTAGATTTTAGCTGGGAGAAGAGAGATTTGCAGATGGTGAAACAGGGCTACCGTCTTCCTGGATGTCCAGGCTACCCTGTACACATACCTGCCATGATTGTCATACTTACTCTTTACTACTCAGCTAATGATGTTTCCTGCAAAGGCCAGAAGATGGAGTTACCTATTTCCTAATTTAGGCCTCTTCAAGCATTTACCCCACCCCTACCCCTAACCTCCCCACTAAGTCTCAGATTACTGGAGGTGTTGGGTTAGATGGTGATGACAAGGATATTTCAGAGAGAGAGTTGGGGAGTTTAGAGTCTTTGATTGAAAGGAGGAGACATCATGGCACTTTATGCCTTCATCTCTTCCTCATTTCCCCTAGAAATTCCAGTAAATGACAGTGATGGACTATAGAGGTCAAAATAGTTCAATAGATATACTGGGGAGATCCTGATCTATAGGTTGGTGTCCCTATTAAATTGGGACACTTTGCAAGCCTGGGGAAGAAATTTAGTTACCTCACTCCACTTCTCATATTAAGGGGAATTTACCTAAGTGGAACCAATAAACATGTAAATTTATTGAATTCTCTAAGAACAATACCCCTCCCCACTCAATGTACTTAGATATCTCCTTAAAAAAATCCTAGTCTGAGAAAAATGTTTACTGACTTCAGAGAGGGAGAGAGAGAGAGAGAGAGAGAGAGAGAGAGAGAAACACCTGTGTGAACAAGAAACATTGATTGACTGCCTTTTGTACATACCCCAACTGGAACCAAACCCTCAACCTAGGTATGTGCCCTGATCGGGAATTGAACCTTTTGTTGTAGGGAACAACTCTAACCAACTGTGAGCCACACTGGCCAGGGCTAGATGTCTCCTATTTCTTATTGCTTTAAAGTAAAGCAACTCCACAAAAGATTAAAAATATAAAATAAAACACCTTAAATTTTTTTTAAAAAGGAAATTGTCATATATTTTCCTGAGCTACCTATTCCCTTTTAATGGAATCCTTACCTCTCATTGGGTTTGGCTACTCAAAGCACCTCGTCAGTGGCTGCTGTGCAAATCAGCCCTCTCTGGGGATTTATTTAGGGCCTGGTTCATGGTTCTTATATCTAGAAATCTCTGCAGCCAGAGGTCATCAGATTTACTAGTTTTCCTTTGGGATCCACGCAGACTCTAAGAGAGGGAAAAAGAAATTCAGATACTTGCAGAATCTTAATTGAATGCACCTGGTGTCCTGCAGCTGTGAGACCCAGGTGACAGCTGCTCTATGGCGGTTTTCATGCAGCAGGTGGCAGCAACACCCTGCCGACCAGCACTGCTCTCCCAGATATGGGAATTTTGCTTCCATTGTCTTTCAATCCCAATAGTATTTTCAAAAGGCCCTTTCAGCATGGGGATGGGCATTCTCTAAGCTTAAAAATAACTCCTCTATAGAAGTCATGTCAATCTCTTCTATTATCCTCGCTGCTCACCAAATCCCAATTGCATGGCATTTCTTCTGTCTTAGCGTATATTCTGCTCATATAAAGAGGAAACAGAAGCAGTCAGTTTCACACACAAAAAGAAATCTTGAACTCCTTGAACTTCAGAGGCAAATTCAATTATTTACAAAGAGAAGCAGGGACACACATTATTTCTGCTACTAGCGAGCCATAAATGGTTGTTTTGAACAAACTTTTTCTATGCTCCATCTAAACACTTACCCTCAATGAGAAAAGGACATTATCAGAAATAGGAAGTTAAGCAAAATGGCAAACTTACTTTTGTGGTTTTCATAGAGGTTAACTCAAACATTACTGATTTGTTTTGCATTTTATACTTTACTTACACACACACACACACACACACACACACACACACACACACACAAAATGTGCAGTGGTAGGTTTCTCTCCCAAAATGTTTAGGAACCATAATGCTTAATGTTCGTGCTAATAAAAAAAAATATTTGAGTGCCAAATCTTAGAAGGTTACAAAGATCCATAGTTCTGGGTGATTTAAAAACATAAATGACGATTCCGGTCAAGGGCATGTATCTTGGTTGCAGGCACATCCCCAGTAGGGAGTGTGCAGGAGGCAGCTGATTGATGCTTCTCTCTCATCGATGTTTCTAACTCTCTATCCCTCTCCCTTCCTCTCTGTAAAAAATCAATAAAATATATTATTAAAAAAAAAGCTTTAAAAACATAAATGATAAAAAACATGTCTTATCCTTTAGACACTTACCATTTTGCTGGAGAAAACATCCCGAGTGACACAGTGCACAGGATCAAAAGCAGAAGTAGGACAGGCCTTTAGACAAGAGGAGATCTCCCAGGGATCAAGTGGGACAGGAGCCTATGAAGTGTGGATTCTAAATTTGCCTTTATATTCTAGAAGTGGATCTGGTGGAGTCCATGAGGTAAGCCACCCCAGGAAGAGAAAACAGTAAGAACCAAACAATTGGTAGTATTGAAGCTAAAGGTTAATTCAGTGATTTGATTGTTATCATTGAATAAAGACTTTACTGGAGGCTTGAGACAGACAAAATTGCCCAACCAGTGAGTTTAGACCTTAAAAAAAATAGTATAAAGCTAAATCACATACTGGGATCCTTTTGTAGATAGCTACAAAAATATTCTTTTTAACGAAAAATCTTTATTGTTGAAGGTATTACATATGTCCCCTTTATTTTTCCCCATTGACCCTTTCTAGCCTGCCCCCACCTTCCACCCCAGGCCTCCACCACACTATTGTCTGTGTTACAAAAATATTCTTAACTATATTGTATTTTTACAACTGTAGATTTACAATGAAATATTGTGTTTCTATACTTGGTGAAAACAATAGGCTAGGTAAAATTTACCAAGGATTGGGTCTGATCTTTTGCTAGTAATTTCCCCCATCCTACTTTTTTCCTCCAACTTTTCTTTTAATAGAGTTCTCAGTGTGAGAGCAAGACAGAAGGAGGGAGAGAGGGAGGAAGGGGAGAGAGAGAGCAGAAGGGGAGAGAGAGGGAAAAAAAGGAAAGAGAGGGAGGGAGAAAGAGAGAGAGGGAACTTGCACTTTAATATTTGTTACTTTTTGTGATGGTGTAGCTCAATACAACCTCAATTAAGTAATGCTATCAGAAAATATATCGTGATTAATAGCATTTTCCTGTTAACCGAGAACTAAACCAAATTCTTGGGGGAGGAAGGATTGTAATGGGGAGGGAAAATGAGTAAGTTAGAAAGTTAGTTCTCATTGCTGAACATCTTTTTTATATTATTGTTTCACATTTCTGGCTCAATAAAAACCTTGTGATGAACATTATGTCATTTTATTTGGTGACTGAGGTTCTTATAGAGACCACCAGATGAAGAAACTGAGCTTTGAAAGGTAAAGGTGTCATGCCTAAGTTAATGAGCTTGTTGTAAAGAATCCCATACTACTTGTTATATTGAGTCTTATATTACACTATTAAGTTATTTAGTTTAACATAATCAACAGTTAAAACCAACCATTCTTCAAATTAAAATGCAAATTGCCTCTAATATCTGGACAAATAAGAACTGGTCTAGAAATCATACCTTATAAAAAATGTAATTCCTATTAACCTGTACCTATATATCACAGAGGCAATAATAGTAATTTATATATATATATTTGCTCAAGAAACTTCTGTTTGTGTGTTTTGTTCACTTGCTCGCTGTTTAATTTGATTTCCTGGAGGAACTCTGACCAACTCTGGGTAAATCCAGACACACTATTTTGTATTGAAGGTATTGAATTAACCTCATACTGGTGTTATATAACTCAATATCAATTCATTTCACTTTCATGGTTCTTTAGCCATTTACTTTGTATTTATTTTTCCCTTTAGTTTGGCTCAGAAAAAG